ACTTCATTGAAGAAGAGAAAAAAAAAAAAAAAAAAAAAAAATCGGCTCTTGAGATCCAATTGTTAAGCTTTCAGGAATTTTCTGAGCTGGGTCTTCAACTGTTGGTAACTTGAATTCATCCATGGTAGAAGGATTTACATCATGGAAATCAACAAATGCTACAACTCAGGGCTCCATCCCACCAGCCAAAGCCAGTTTACCATCACATTGTTTGATTATTCAATTGGAAATCATGTCAGAGGTCTCAGAGGAACGGGTGTGTGTGTGTGCACGTGCGTGCGCGCTTTTTGGGAGAATGTGTATATTGGGAGGATTTGGTTACAGCCAGTGTCCCCAGAATGGGGCTTCCAGGCCAGCAGATTTTGCAGGTGCTAAATGTGGGCACCTCTGCTCCACATGGCTCCCAGCCTTACCTGCACATTCAGAATTATTTGAGGAGCTTTAAATGAAAACACAAAACACAAAAAAAAAAGCCCACACCCAGGCCACACCCCAACCAATTAAATGAAAATCTCTGGCAGTCGGGCCCACACCGGGGTGTGTTTTTAAAACGCCTGGTGATTCCAATGTGCTGAGATAATAAAGTTGAGAGCCACGGAATAGAGAATGCCACGCCTCTCAAAGCACTTTTACCTGCATTTTCTCATTGGCAATGATATGTAGCTAATCAACCAGCTGGAATCGGCTTAATAGAACAGGCAATTAGAAAGTCATGGCAGTTAAGGAAGATGCTTAGAGAATTGGGGGAAATTTAAAGTATACGCGTATGTCACTTTTCAGGGAAGTATCATTAGAAGTACACACCGAGATCTCTCTTAAATTGAAGGCAAAATATTCACTCCGGGTAGTTCAAGCCTAGTTAAAGTTGCAGACCTGGCTCAGGGTGTGGGTTACTCTCCAGTCAGTGCCCTTGTCTGATGCAATGCCACCTCCTACCCCGGGCCTGCGAGGTCTCCCGGGAAGCCCAGGACTCTGCCTGCCTCTCAGCAATCAAAACACGATAGTGTCTCATCCTGCAGGAAACTGATGTTCCTTTGGAAAGAGCTGTAAGAACCTACCCACAGTTGTCTTCAACCAAAAGTTCCAATCTTTTGTCCTCTAAAAAGCAGTTTATTAACCTCACCTTTCTCTAGTTGCTGTGATCCCCCCTTTCTTCTCATGGACCCAGTGCATTAAAAAATCTCTATCGGCCGTGCACAGCGGCTCACACCTGTAGTCCCAGCACTTTGGGAGGCCAAGACGGGCGGATCACAAGGTCAGGAGATCAAGACTATCCTGGCTAACACGGTGAAACCTTGTCTCTACTAAACATACAAAAAATTAGCCGGGCATGGTGGTGGGCACCTGGAGTCCCAGCTACTCAGGAGGCCGAGACGAGAATGGCGTGAACCCGGGAGGCGGAGCTTGCAGTGAGCTGAGATCGCGCCACTGCACTCAGGCCTGGGGGACACAGCGAGACTCATCTCAAAAAAAAAAAAAAAAAAAAAATCTCTATCAAGAAAATGACAAAAAAATATCATTAGCTGTCCACATCCCTATTTTTATTTCTCTTCAATCCAGATCCGACCTCTGATCAGAATAAGAGACACACTGAGATGATACAATCCCAACAAAAACTATTAATATTGTAGTTTGTTTGTATTATTAGATATGTCAGGTTTTTCTAAAATACTAAAAATGTTTGCAGATATCCCTGCCTGCATCTGGAGACCAGCATCTGAGCTAGATGTACATCGTTCCCCCCGGGATTAGTACTTTCTAAAAAGGGTCAGTGCTTTAACCCACAGGACTAAGTTACTAGTGACTAGAAGAAGTTGAGGGCTAACAAGAGGACATAAAGATTTCTTAAATCACTGCACCTTGTCAACAACACTCTTCCCAGAGGCAGCTGTGACCACAGAACTAAACAGTGACATAGCTGTTCCATGTAAAACCTAAAGCAATCAGCTCTTCTTCACAGTGGACGGTGGGAGGCATCCGTTGTTTCTTCTCTCCTGCCTGTGCAGCATCTCCTCCCATTTTCCGCTGAGAGAACCTTGATTATTCTTTGGAACATTCCCCTCTCTCTAAAGCCCCGCCTTGGTTCATGTGGAACTGTCTCTTGCTCCCTTAGCATCAAGGTGGGCATGAGACCTAGGCCTGGTGAGAATGTTTATTGTTGTTTACATTTATATATCTAAATCTAAGGGGGGTTTTTTAGCTATAAGAAAGAAAATTAGTTTACATGGGCATCCGCCAGTTCTGGCCAGGAGATAATCAGACCACTCCAGTGTTCCTCTTGGAGGTAAGAGCATGGCATTCAGCATAGTGTAGCGCCACCTAATGGCTGTGGGTGGAGAGTTCCCGGCTGAGGCAAGACCTGCAGGTGCTTTGAAGTGAATGGTGCTTGAGCCACAGATATTCAAGGTATGCAAATAGGGAGTGTTTTTCTTTATACATGTCTCCCAGCTAATAAAACTAGTTTCATCCCAGCTAATAAAACTAGATTAAATGGATAGAATTAAGATTTCACCACTTTGCAACTCTTGATGAAAATAATGGACTAGACAGTGGTCTTCAACAGCTGCCAAAAGCATTAGGTGCAAAGCTGATGGGAAAAGTGGTATAATGTTAATGCAAGGATAGAAAACAGCTAATCTTCTAATTAGCAGAAGAGACAGTCCAGGGACAGATCCATACCTCAGCGTCATCTGACTTACAACAAAGATGCCATTGCAACACAGCACTGCAGAGGGTGGGGGAGACTGCCTGGACACATTGGTCTCCCTCACTCCATGTACAGAATCCCTTTCAGATAGATGGTAGACCAAACAGGGAAAGTGAAACAACAAAGCTTCTAGAAGAAAACACGGGAGAAAATCTCCATGACCACAGGTAGATTTGTTAAACAGGACACAGAACACTAGCCTTAAAAGAAATACTGACAAATTGGACTTTCATTAAAATTAAACCCTTCTCTTCATCAAAAGACGTCAATAAGAGGGTGAAAAAGCAAGGCAGTGGGAGGAGAGTTTTATAATACAGGTGTCTGACAAAGGACTCGGCTACAATGTCTTATTAACTGCTGTACTGCAAGCCAATAGGAAAATGATAGACAACTCAATTCATTAAATGGGCAAAAAACTTGACAGGTACTTCATTGAAGAAGAAAAAAAAAAAAAAAAAGAAAAGAAAAGTCCCAAATAGCCAATGAGCATAGAAAAGTTACTCATCGTTATTCGTTTTTAGGCAAATCCACATTCAAACCAGGATCAGATGCCACTGTGTACTCACCAGAATGGCTGAAATTTTAAAGACAGACAAATAAATAACAATCCCAAGTGTTAGTGAAGCTGTGGAGTAACTGGAACTCTTATACACTGTAGGAAGGAAGTAAATACTGTACAACCATTTGGAAACTGACAGCATTTACCAAAGCTAAACATACAGGCACTCTGAGGCTGAGCTCTTCTGTTCTTAGAGAAATGACTGCAGAAATGAATCATCTGCCAAAAGATAAGCTTATCACAGGTTTACTCATAATATTTACAAACTAGAAACAGCCCAAACATTCATCAGCTGTTGGATAAATTGTACAGTGGGTATTCATTCAGTGGAATTCTCCTTAGCCATATAAAAGAATAAACTACCAATATAACACCGTGGGTGATTCTCACACAGACAACACAGAGTGAAATAAGCCAGTCTCAGGAGAACACATAGTGTATGGTTCCATTTACACAAAGCTGAAGAACAGGCAAAAGCAATTGATGATGCTAGGCTTAAGAATGGATTCTCTTTGGTGATACTGATGGTATTGTTGAGGAAGGAATGTGAGGGAGCCTCTTGGGGACTGACCGTGGTTTGTATCTTGATCTGAGTGGTGGTTACGTGGTATATGCATTGGTAAAAATTGAGTGAGCTATCTACTAATGGTCTTTATTGTAGGTATATTATACTTCAGTTAAAAAGCTGATTCGGAATTTCATAATGGGCTGATCAAGCTGATATCCGAACACTCTTAAAGTGTTTTTAAGATGATCACTCTTAAAACCATAAAACAAGGGACAACCAGATATTTTTGGCTTGCTTCCTAATGAAAGTATACTTTAAGTATCCTTGTATAAATAAATAAATCTTGAATTCTTATCAAGCCCTGGAACTACCTACCAATTTACAGGAAATACAGAGTTAGAAAGCAGCATGTTAAATATCACAGAGATGTGATGAATGAGAAAAATCTAGGATGTGGGACTCTCTACGGGACAGATGACCTTGTTTCCTCAACAAATAAATTCCCAAGAAAAAAGAGGAGCTCACAGATTAAAATAAATTTGCAAGACATACCAACCAAATCCAATCTGTGGCCTTTGCCTAAATGTGGATTTTTTAAAAAGCAGCTGAAAGAAACAATCTGGGAAATTGGAACACAGACTAGAAATTTGATTATTTTAAAACAGTAATGTTTGTTATTTTAGGTATGATACTTATACTGTGTTTAAAAATAAAAAGGTCCCATGGCCGGGCGTGGTGGCTCACACCTGTAATCCCAGCACTTTGGGAGGCCAAGGTGGGCGGATCACAAGGTCAGGAGATCGAGACCATCCTGGCTAACACGGTGAAACTCCGTCTCTACTAAAAAAATACAAAAAAAATTAGCCGAGCGCGGTGGCGGCGCCTGTAGTCCCAGCTACATGGGAGGCTGAGGCGAGAGAATGGCGTGAACCCAGGAGGCGGAGCTTGCAGTGAGCCAAGATCTCTCCACTGCACTCCAGCCTGGGTGACAGAGAAAAAAAAAAAAAAAAAAGGTCCCTTATCTCCTTGAGGACAGAGGGACTGCAGAGTTGGTGCAGGACTAGTGCGGAATGAGCCTGGACCATCATGTGGTTGCAGAAAGTAAAGAAAGAAGAAAAGTTGGGGGCTTGTCAGAAAAGAACAAAAGGGCTACCCTGTTGGAGCTGTCACAACAATGTGAACAAAATCAATATTAGTACCATCGGATTTTAGCTGATAGAATAACATTATTATGTATAAGCTCACACTGAAATAAATCATAAAATAAGCAAATAAATAATTTAATGGGGAAAAAGAGACAGCTCTTTCTTAGGGTAGAATCTTCAAAGAGAGGGAAACAAGAAGTCACCATTAGGCAAACACCGCAGTGATAATTAATTGTTGCAGACAAGATCCACCAACGGATGCTCAGATCAGTGGGCGAGAAACCAGATATTTGCATAGTCCCAAATATCTTCCCCCCAGATATTTATTGACTGTAAAGAGAAAGATGATAACTTTATAGTGAGAAAATCTGGCGGACACCGTCTTAACAAGTGAGCAAGTGAACGTCACCAGTAATAAGACAGAGGAGCATCCTGAACCCCTGGGAGGAGGTAACATCCCCTCTCTGGTTTTCTTACCGAAGTGCACGGCCTTGTTTCCAGCCATGAGAAGACATCAGACAAACCCAAATGAAGGGATGGTCTACACGTTGTAGTTTGTGATGACTTCTCAGATTGTGGCTGGGGATGACAGCTACTTTCTACTTCTGAGTTCTACATTCTTTATATTCTACAAAATCACTGATCAGTGCTCTTCAAAAGTGTCAAGGTCAGGAAACACAAGGAAAGACCGAGGAAGTGTTACTGACTGAAGGAAGCTAAGGGGATAGGACAGCTACATCCACGATTGGATCCTGGACCAGAAAAAGGACATTCGTGGAGGAACTAGTGAGATGTGGCTACAGTCTGTGGTTTAGTTAATAGTATTGTCCCAGCATCACGTTCTTGGTTTGCATAATGTGCTGTGGACATGTGAGGTGTTCACATCAGGGAAGCTGGATATGCATTCTCTATGCGATTTTTACAGCATTTCTGCACATCTAAAATGGGTTCAGAGTAAAAAGTTTTCTTTAAAAATTGCCTCTATGTTTTATAGATAAATAATGAAGTGCTAATGGATGTTTTCTTGTTGTTGTTGTTGTTTTTGAGATGGAGCCTCACTCTGTCACCCAGGCTGGAGTGCAGTAGCACAATCTGGGCTCACTGCAAGCTCCACCTCCTGCGTTCACGCCATTCTCCTGCCTCAGCCTCCCAAATAGCTGGGACTACAGGCGCCTGACACCACGCCTGGCTAATTTTTTGTATTTTTTAAGTAGAGACGGGTTTTCACCATGTTAGCCAGGATGGTCTCGATCTCCTGACCTGGTGATCCACCTGCCTCGGACTCCCAAAGTGCTGGGATTACAGGCATGAGCCACTGCGCCTGGCCGCTAACGGATGTTTTTAAAGGCCAGATATGTCTTTGAACATAACCTATACTTGTCACACCAATTTTCCTGGCAGACCCTAAATAAGGTTCACTGAAACTTTTCTACCTGGGCCCTTATCGATGAAGTGCTGTATCAGAGAATGTGACCAGGGCTGAGCGGAGCTGGGAGAGGCTCTCAGTCAGGTGACTTGTGGCCAAACATTGGGGATGGCTTGCTCTGTTTGCTTTAATTAAAAGCACCTGCCCAGGTAGGCGGTCCCTCGACCTCAGAGCCCTTCCTTGTTACTGGTTGGCCAGGGTTTCAACACCTCGTTTCCACAGGTGTTTGCGAGATGCAGTGTAAAGTGCAGCCATCTGATCTCTTTCGTAACAGGAACGGCGGAGGCCGCAGTGGGACGTTCTGCGCCATCAGCATCGTGTGTGAGATGCTCCGGCACCAGAGAACCGTGGATGTCTTCCACGCTGTGAAGACACTGAGGAACAACAAGCCCAACATGGTCGACCTCCTGGTAGGACACCCCCTCTGAGCTGTTCCATGAGACCCTCCATGAGCATTAGAATCCACGCCAGCTCCCAGATTCGCAGGGAGACTGATGCGTAGAGGGAGACTCATTTTCAAAATCACAATGTAATCACTTGGCATGTAGGGCTTTTTTCCTTCTTTCTTGTGCTCCCTCTTCCTGTCTTTGTTCATCACAAGGAGACTTTGTCTCCAGCTCATTGGAAATAGGGAAATAGCTGAAACTCACAAGTGAGCATCCTTATTAACTTCCCTTCCTGGCAGTGCCTTCCACGTGGCTAAGCACTTCGTCTTCACAGAGAAGAAATAATCATAGTATGTGAAATGCCAGATTTTCAAATTATATATTTTATAAATAGCTTAATCGCCTAATATTTATCAAAGCTGTGAATTTTAGTTTGACATCCAGAATATTGCATTTAATTATGGTGGCCATATCTGAGAAAAGGATTAAAGGAGATGAGAAACAAAGGACAATGTGCAATTATTTTCTTGAGTATTTTATGAAATCTCTTTTTATGTGGAGCTGTTGAAATGCCAACCACTGTGACTCTAGAATAGTTTAAAGGAGGGAGCTTTTAGATTAGGTTTTTGCAGTTCTCTGTGAGCGGAGGAAGGAGCTGAAGGAAACAGCAGGACTAATCCAAGGTTGGAAAATGGCTTGGGGGCAGGAGAGGGAGAAAGAGGTGGCCGATGCCACAAGCTCCAAAGCCAGTGTTCCCAGGTCCACGGCGTCACAGCACTGGTGTTAATGTTAAAAATTAAAATAAAGGGACTTAAGAGGGAGTTGAGAGTCAAGCTGAGTTGGAGAAAGTAGCCGTGGTCCCCGTGCAGTTTAAGAAGTCATAATAGCAGTGCTGCGGGCTGGCTAATAGTAGTGACCAATGACAACGAGCTCCCAAACATGTCCCGCTCAGCACAAACCACTCTCCAGGGCATCCGCTTTGCCCAGATACATGTCTTGTGCCTGAGGAGCTGCTCCATTTCCAGGAAGCATGGCTGCTGGTGGGGGAATGTGGCACACCTGCTTGGCCCCATCAGCTGTTAGCATGTTGGCTTCTAGAAGGGGCTGAAAGGACCGTGCTCCCCAGACTCCTGCTCCCTTCCTCCCCACCCTACAGGGCGCCCACGGAAACCCAAATTCTAGTCTCAACTCTGCTGCTAATTCTAGTTAGGTGACCCCAACACATTAGTCTTGTCATTTAAGTGTCCTTAAGCAAATCCGTTAACTCCTCTAGGTGTTAGTTTTGTAAACTAGGGATACCATTAGCTCATGGAGGTAGCCAGCATGCAGAGGGATGTGAAGGTTTTGGAAATTGGAAAGGGGAGAGGTGGTTGTAGAGAGTGGAGGCGTCTGCCAGGCGTGATGCCGTCAGTGGCCTGGCAGAAGGGTTCTAAGTGCCCTGGACATAGTAACGGATTTCCTGTGGGTTGTTGAAGGGCTGGTGTGGGGCTTCACTAGGACCGTCTCCCTCCCTGCATCCCGGCCTGATTGGTAAAGAGTTCTACCACCATGGAATTCCCAGTCTTCCAGGACGGAGGCAGTTGAGCAAAGAGTGGCCATGCTGTCGGCGGAGGCCTGAGTTTGGGCCGGCAGAGGATAGAAACAAATGCATGAATGAAATATTCCGACTGTGGCTTCGTGCAGTAGTTAACCTCAGTAACTCAGGGACAGGTGTGCAGCCTGGAGACTCTGGCTGGTACTTGGGCACAGCTGACCTTGATCAAAAAAAATGTCACTTCCTTCGCACTGCAGCCTGAATTAAGCAGATCATTAGAAACAGGTCCTTGCAGGCCTTTCCTGTAATGGCTCCGGCCGCAGCTTTCATCACTCACCAGGTTTTACGGGCAGGAATGATGGGGCTTTTACCAAATCAGTGGTGCACGCTAGAGGACGGGGGTGATTTTTCATGAAATAAATGGAGGCTTAGGTGGCTGAACCAGAAGGGAGCTTGCGGTCCCAACCCACGATTCTATAATAACTTAGGACTTTGTGTAGTTATGTGTGACCCTAATGGAGAAGATGGGATTTCTGGGTGCCCAGACCAAAGGTCAGCACCAGTTGGAGGATAAGGTCAGGGTCTGAGAAATGTAGGAAAGTTTCGCAATTTCCGGAGAAAACTGTGTGACATATCTGTCACGGTGGCTGTTAGGGTATTAGATAATACCGGGTGACAGAGAAAAAAGTCACTGTGCTGTTCTCAGTGGGTTTGAAGCTTCCAGAACTGAATGGGACCTGTTGTCATTTGGTTTTGTCTGTAAATACGACTTCTGTTTGGTTTGGTGTTGATACCTGTGTATGTTGGCTGAGATAATTAAATTAGCTTAGGTCAGGGTGATAAAGTCTGGTACAGTTTTATTGGGCATCACAGGCCATCTGAGGCCCGAGTGTGTCCTAAGCACAAAATGTTGCGCCAGCAGCTGAAAAGGGCAGTGTCCTGAGTCTACTTAGCTGCGTCTTCAGAGGATGACGAGCATGTGCCAGACAGCCCTGGGGGCGCTTCAGGCTGGGGTGCAACAGAGGGGCCCTCGCCCTGGCCCCACTAGTTCTTATACCTCACGTGTGCGGCTGCATCCCTCATGGGCCCTTCCATTCAGAACAGGCAAATGCTGCCGCTCTATCCTCCCTGCCAGGGCGGGTGAGCGCACAGAGGGACGCTGTGTCTCTCCCCATCTCTCTTTGCAGCTCTGATTTTTCTAAATTGCTTCTGAGTGGGAAGATGCATCGGTTCGTGCTGAAGCATGGCGCTCTCCAGGGAGATCCGGAAAGCCCTAAAGATGTATTTCTGCACATTTTTCGCTTTGGGGGCTCTGGAGAAAAGCCAGTGGATTGCCAGGAGGCAAAACAGTTTCTAATACAAGACTAGATTTTTTTTGTATCCAGCAGGGGCAGCTGCATTTTTCCTGAACGCTTTTTCCGCCCTGCTTCTAAGTTATCCATCTCTTCAACCAGCCTCAAGTCCCCATCAAAGAACTGGGTCCCAGGAGGGTGGACAAGGACAGCACAGCCTGCCATTCCCCACGACTCGCCTAGTTAGATTCAGAATGGGTCCTGGCACCTGAGCTCCTTTGAAGCGACTCCGGCTGCAGGAAAGCGGCTGCTTCACACCGGCAGCTCCCTTCTCACTTTTGCCTTCTTTAATGGCTTTTGAAGTTCCCAGGGCTCTGTTTTAACATAGAAATGGTCTTTTTTTTTTTTTTTTTTTTGAGACGGAGTCTCGCTCTGTCGCCCAGGCTGGAGTGCAGTGGCCGGATCTCAGCTCACTGCAAGCTCCGCCTCCCGGGTTCACGCCATTCTCCGGCCTCAGCCTCCCGAGTAGCTGGGACTACAGGCGCCCGCCACCTCGCCCGGCTAGTTTTTTGTATTTCTTAATAGAGACGGGTTTTACCGTGTTAGCCAGGATGGTCTCGATCTCCTGACCTCGTGATCCGCCCGTCTCGGCCTCCCAAAGTGCTGGGATTACAGGCTTGAGCCACCGCGCCCGGCCAGAAAATGGTCTTTAAGGGCAGATCTTGCCTAGAGAAACGTAGTATCTTCTTGCCTAGAGAAACAGTATCTCCTGCCAGGTGGTGGGAACTTTGGAAGACTCCCCTGCACAGCCTAGTGCACTGCCCAGGAAATGAATAACTGGCACACGCCTTGGCAGGGCTGACAACGCTGCCTCTGTAGGTAATTACACACTTTAATATGGAGTGCAGTGGCGTGATCATAGCTCAAACCCCTGGGCTCAAGCCATCCTCCCACCTCAGCCTCCCAAGTAGCTGGGACTAAAGGGGCATGTGCCTGACTGGTTTCTTATTTTTATGTCTTTAGAGATGGAGTCTTGCTATTTTTCCCAGACTGGTCTCAAACTCCTGGCCTGAAGCAGTCCTCCTGCCTCAACCTGTCAAAATGCTGGGATTACAGGCATGAGCCACGGTGCCTGGCCTGGCATCTTATCTTAGTTCCATGCCATTCTACACGTATTTCTCAGCCTCTGATCTATGTGCAGCATCACTGGACATGATGCAAGAAAAGTAGAAGATATGGTCTCTCCCACATGGAGCTTAGAACTCACTGGAGACGCAAAAGTCCTCCCTAAACCTCAGTTTTCTCATCTGTAAAGTGGGAATAAGAATATTAAGCCTTGCCAAGCGCGGTGGCTCACCAGCACTTAGGGAGGCCAAAGTGGGCGGATCACCTGAGATCAGGAGTTTGAGACCAGCCTGGCCAACCAACATGGTGAAACCCTGTCTTTACTAAACATATAAAAATGAGCCAGGGCGTGGTGGCAGGCACCTGTAAACCCAGATATTTGGGAGGCTGAGGCGGGAGAATCACTTGAACTCAGAGGCAGAGGTTGCAGTGAGCTGAGATCGCACCATTGCACTCCAGCCTGGATGACAGCGCAAGACTTCTCAAAAAAAAAAAAAAAAAAAAAAAAGGAATATTAATTCAGTCACAAAAGGCCACATATTCTATGATTCCTTGTCTGGGAAATGTTCAAAGCAGACAAATCCTTGAGACAGAAAGTCGAGTAGTGGTTGCTGAGGGCTGGGGGAGAGGGAGATGGGGTGACCGCCAGTAGGCGCAGGGTTTCTGAGGCGATGGGAATGTTTCAGACTTAGATGGTGTACAAGTCTAACTATACTGAAAACCACTGAACTGTGTTAAAATACAAAATTACAACACACTGAATTTGAAGATCTAATTGGCTTGTATGAGTGACCCTAGAATCAGGCAAGATGTCATTCTGTAAAATAGAACGAGGGCTCCAAGGAGCTGAGCAGAGGAGACTGCTTTCTAGGCAGAAAAGGGCTTGGGAAGGCAGAGGCAGGGAACACAAAGCAGACTGGTTGTTTCAAACTTCCTTCCATCACAGGGTTAAAATAGAGGGGCTGCTTTATCACGGCAGCTTGGGAACACCGGCCTGCTTCTGACTGGTTCTGCACTTCTCCTGATGTTCCGAAAGTTGCCCTGTTTCAAAGTTCAGTTGGATGGCAGCGTGG